CTTCCTCTTTTCCAATTGGATGTCTTTTATTTCTTTCTCTTATCTGGCTGATTTGGCTAGTACACCCAGTACTATGTTGAATAAGAGTGGTGAAAGTGAGCATCCTTGTCTTGTTCCAGTTCTTAGGGGTAATGCTTTCATTTTTTCCCCATTCAGTATGATGTTGGCTGTAGGTTTGTTGTATATCACTTTTATTATTTTGAGGTATGTTCTTTCTATGCCTAGTTGAGTGTATTTATCATAAAGCAATGCTGAATTTTATTAAATGCCTTTTCTGCATCTAGTGAGATGATGGTAAGGTGTTTGTCCTTAATACTGTTTATTTGATGAATCACATTTATTGTTTGTATATGTTGAAACATCCTTGCATTCCTGGAATAAAACTCACCTGATCATGGTGTGCTACGTTTTTGATGTGCTGTTGGGTTGGTTTGCTAGTATTTTGTTGAGGAGTTTTGCATCTGTGTTCATCAGTGATATTGGTCTGTCGTTTTCTTTTTTTTGTTGTGCCCTAGTCCCTTTCCTTATGAAACAAAGCCTCCCTTCTACCCCCACCCCAAAGAAGCCAGATACTGCTCTCCCAGCATCCCCTGCAGCTAGCGCTGTATACATGATGAGGATTCATTAATTAGACATCCTCAAGCTGTGAACTGGAAACTTCTGAAGCTAATACCAGCAGAATCATGATCCTGTGAAGATGGTGGCTAAGTCCAATTTCCAGAGGCAGTCACGGCAGTGGTATTCACAGCATTGTCCGAGGCAGAGGGTATTTGCCATGCAAGGTTTTGTGTGTGTGCCCAGGTGCCAGGGCAGTAACTTAACCAGATTGGTTCTATGTATAATTTGGGGCATTATTCCTGGCCACGTAGTTGCCAAGCCTGTTTCTTTGACTCTCTCTCAAAGATATATCTTTTTAATCATCTAAATATATTCCTTTTCTAATTAACATACTACAGTTGGGATCCATTTCTGTTACTGACACAGCCTGGTCCAACCTTTCCTTGATTCTGTGAGCTAACCTACATCCTTCCAAACATTTGCCTTTGGTTTGAGTTAACAGCATCCAGGTTCCATTGCTTGTGAAGGTAACAAATGTGGTAGTGAAAAGAGTATGAGCTTCAAGTCTGCCTTTACTCACTCTGTGATCTTCAGCTAGTTACCCAAGCTCTGTGTGCCTCAGTTACCTCCTCTGACAAACAGGAGGGCACTTCCCACTCTGACCCACTCTGATTATAGAAACTGGGTGACCCCTCAAAAGTCTGTGCTGACCAATGAGGGCCAGCTTGAGCTGCCAGTTATGATACCACCACTTGCCCCCTTCCCTGTCTACCCCTGCTGTTCCCTATCCCCACCAAGGATTCTCTTTTAAGTTCATGACAATAAAAAGCAAATAGACTGGCCCAGCATGGTGGCTCACTCCTGTAATCCCAGCACTTTGGGAAGCTGAAGTGGTCAGATCACGAGATCAGGAGATCAAGACCATCCTGGCGGAACAATCCAAGATGGCCAATCGCTAACATCTCGGGATTGCAGCTCTCAGTGAAAGCACAGAGAACTAGAGGATGCCACACTTTCAAACAAATTCTGATCGCTCACGGAGCAGAAGATTCCCAGTGGAGGAGCCACACGGGTCGCCAGTGCGACTCCTGAGGCCGGCGCAGCAGTTGTGACGGCACCTCAGCGCGGCAGCTCTCGGCGCAGAGTAAACGAGACTGGTTCCCCTTCTGACCGAGGTTTGGAGCCCCGGGAAGGCAAAGTCACCTATTACAGACACAAGAAGGAAGCCAGACAGGAGAATCCTGGGCAGAAAAGCACCATCCATCTTAACGCCACTGTTCTGGCCCTGGGAACTAACAACTTGGATGTCCACTCAAGAGACATAATCTGAAAGTAGGTAATTTCAAAGACGACAGGAGGATAAATTTACAATGATGGGAAGAAGCCAGCATAAAAAGGCTGAGAAGGAACGATCCAAGATGGCTGATCGCTAACAACCCGGGATTGCAGCTCTCAGGGAAGGTGCAGAGAACTAGAGGACGCCACACTTTCAGACAAATTCTGGTCGCTCACGGAGCAGAAGATCCCCCAGTGGCGGAAACACACGGGTGGCCAGCGCGACTCTCGTGGCCGGCGCAGCGGTTCCACCGGCACCTCGGCAAGGCAGCTCTCGGAGCAGAGTAAACAGGTTCGGAGGACCCACATGGGTCCCCAGCAGGACACCAGAGCTCAGTGCAGCGGCTGTGACGGCACCTCGGCACGACAGCGCTCGGCGCAGAGTAAACGGGACCGGTTCCCCTTCTGACCGAGGTTTGGAGCCCCGGGAAGGCAGAGTCGCCTACTACGAACACAAGAAGGAAGCCAGACAGGAGAATCCTGGGCAGAAAAGCACCATCAGTTTTAACGCCGCTGCTCTGGCCCTGGGAACTAACAACCTGGACATCCACTCAAGAGACCTAATCTGAAAGTTGGTAATTTCAAAGACGACAGGAGGATAAATTTACAATGATGGGAAGAAACCAGTGTAAAAAGGCTGAGAATACTCAAAGTCAGAACGCCTCTCCCTCTAAAGATGATCAGAGTTCCACATCAACAATGGAACAAGGCTTGATGGAGAACGAGCGCATCCTGATGACAGAATCACTCTTCAAGGAATGGATAATAACAAACTTTGGTGAGTTAAAAGAACATGTTGTAGCCCAACGTAAAGAAACTAGGAACTTTGAAAAAAAGTTTGATGAAATCCTATTGAGAATAGACAACTTAAGAGAGGAGTATGAGTGAAATAATGGAACTGAAGAATACAATACAGGAACTCCGAGAAGTATGCACAGGTTTAAACACTCGAATTGTTCAAGCAGAAGAAGGGATATCAGAGGTCAAAGTCCAACTTAATGAAATAAAACAGTGAAGACAAGATTAGAGAAAAAAGGATAAAAAGGAATGAGCAAAGTCTCCAAGAAATGTGGGACTATGTGAAAAGACCAAATTTACGTTTGATAGGTGTACCTGAATTGCAACGAGAGAATGAATCCAAGCTGGAAAATACCCTTCAGGATATTATTCAGGAAAATTTTCCTAAACTAGCAAAGCAGGTCAACATTCAACCCCAGGTAATACAGAGAACACCACAAAGATATTCCTCAAGAAGAGCAACCCCAAGGCACATAATTGTTAGATTCACCAGGGTTGAAACAAAGGAGAAAATACTAACGGCAGCCAGAGAGAGAGGTCAGGTTACCCACAAAGGCAAGCCTATCAGACTTACAGCAGATCTCTCAGCAGAAACTCTACAAGCCAGAAGAGTGTGGGGGCCAATATTCAACATCCTCAAAGAACAGAACCTTCAGCCCAGAATTTCATATCCTGCCAAACTAAGCTTCACAACTGAAGGAAAAATAAAATCTTTTATGAACAAGCAAGAACTCAGAGATTTTATTACCACCAGGCCTGCTTTACAAGAGCTTCTGAAAGAAGCATTGCACACAGAAAAAACCAGTATTAGCCTTTCTAAAAATACACCAAAAAGTAAAGAGCACCAACATAAAGAAGAAATTACACCAACAAATGCATAAAACAGCCGGTCAACATCAAATGGCAGTAACCCTAAATTTAAATTGACTAAATCCCCCAATCAAAAGACACAGCCAAAACCCAATGGCATGTTACATCCAGACCTGTTTCACATGCAAGGATACACAAAGACTCAAAACAAAGGGATGGAGAAAGATTTACCAACCAAATGGAGAGCAAAAATAAATAAATAAATAAATAAATAAATAAATAAATAAATAAATAAATAAAAAGCAGGAGTTGCAATTCTCATATCTGATAAAATAGATTTTAAAGCAACAAAGATATAGCGGTAAAAGGATCAATGCAACAACAAGAGCTAACGATTCTAACACCCAGATACATAGAGACTTAGATTCAATGAGACAGAAAATTAATAAGGATATCAAGGACTCGAACTCAGATCCGGAACAAGTAAAATTAATAAATATTTATAGAGCTCTCCACTTCAAATACACAAAATATACATTCTTGTCAATAACACATCACACCTACTCATAGGTTTAAATGAAACATTGATTGGCCATTATGAAGACCCATTTTTTTTTTCAGAATACAGCAATATTTCCATTCACCCGCCCTCTTTCTCTTCCTCTTTCTTTCTCTCCTTTACTCATTTTTTTCTTTCCTTCTCTCAAAAAAAGAAAAAAAGAAATCAACTTGTAAACCTCTAGATCCAGGTCAGCAATGTCTCTCTCATTGCTTGATTTCCTTCCTTCCCTTCCCTCCCTCCCTCCCTCCCCGCTTCCTCCCTTCCTTCCTTCCTTCATCCCTTCCTTCCTCCCTCCCTTCCTCCTTCCCTCCCTTCCTGCCTTCCTCCCAAAACAAAAAAAAGACCATCCTGGCTAACATGGTGAAACCTGTCTCTAATAAAAATAAAAAACATTAGCTGGGCATGGTGACACACACCTCTAATCCCAGCTACTCAGGAGGCTGAGGCAGGAGAATTGCTTGAACTAAAGAGGCAGATGTTGCAGTGAGCTGAGATTGTGCCACTGCCCTCCAGCCTGGGTGACAGAGTGAGATTCCATCTCAAAAAAAAGAAAATAGATTTATCAGCTCTTGTCCACACAACCGCTTTCCTTCACAAACTCTGGTGAGACTGGGATAGTGGACATCCCAGAGGCTAAGAAAGTGAGAGGTAAGAGGGGTTGGAGGGAGCTCCCTGAAGGCTCAGGAAAGAGAGACAAATACATCTTCAACCTCACCTTCTTGCAGAGGGCCTGTCTTAGGGAGCTTCCTCAGAGCACACACAGACATATCCTAAAGTCAGTTCCTGCGACACAGTGAGCAAGTACTTGGGCCTTCCTTCTCTCTTCTCAAAACCTTTCAGTGGCCCTCTAACTAAGCCATTTGTCTTTGCTCTTTCCCTCTCTAATTCATTTTCTGCACCTGATCTAGAAATTGCTTTCTTTTTTTTTTTTTTAAAGGTAATCAGTTATTTAATTAGATTATTAGGACATTTAAAACACCAATTTGTGAGGATAAATTCCATTTGTCGGGGCAAACACAGATCGCAGGTAGCCCTGGAGCTGAGGAATAGCTTTGATTTTTGGTAAAATTTGTGAGTCCACAGCTTTCTGATCAATCTTGCGCTGCTCTGTAAACTCGTATTTCTCTTTTTCTGTGTTGAAGATCTCACCTTCCTGGTGTCTGGGCTTCCGCGGCTGCTTCTTCTTGAAGTAAGCATCAGTAAGATGTTTTGGGATTTTTACATTGCTGATATCAGTTTTGGTGCGGTGGCAATGACAAATTTCTGGTGCATTCTTTGCAGAGGAACTCGATTGAGGATCAGAGTTCCAGTCACAAGTAACAAGCCACTAGCCAGATGCTTCAGGAAAACCATCCTCTTGCCCCTGTGGTGTCCAGTGAGGATGATCAGAATGGTCCCGGGGGTGATGCTGGCTCACAGTTTTCTCACATGGTGACTAAAGGGTTTTTTGCTGTGGCTCAACAGCTTTCAAGGCACAGCTTCAGTAGGATAATACCTAGGCATTTTGCGAAGTTTAACCACCCGGGTGCCACCGTTTTTGTCACCACCAACTGGTTTTGTAACAGTTGCAAGAACCTTCTCCTTCTTTTTCTTTTCAAACTTGGATTTAGCTGCTGAGTACTTCCTCTTGTACAAGGCTTTTCTGGAATACATGGCAGATCGGGAATACCTGCCAATTCCTCTGACAAGAACAGGATTGCAGCTGCAATGGGGCTTCCCCTTCTTGGGCTTTTTAGCCTTGAGGCTACCCTTTTTCACTTTGCTACCAGCATCAGCCTTCTTGGCTTCAGGTTTCTTCTCTTTAGTATCCGGCTTCTCAACTTTTTCACCCGCCATCTTGCAAGATGGGAAAGAGCAAGATTGCTTTCTAAAGTTTACATGAGATCATGTTCTGACCACTTATATCTCTGCTGGAGTCATGGGCAAATGACCTAAATTTTCCAAGCTTCATTTTCCCCATCTATAAAATGGGGATAATAACCCCTGCCTCATAGAGTTATTGTGAAGATTAAATGAAATTATAAGTTTATAACTTGTAATATAGTGCTAGGCACATCCCAAGAGTTTACTGAGAGTCAGATATTGTTATTAACATTATTATCGTCATGGCTATTGCAGGAAATCTAGGTTGCGTGTGCTGAAAAGCAACCGTCCAGGTTAGTGGCTGTCAGCACAGGCTGGGGAGTCAGACACACCTGAATTTGAACTTTTGCTTTTCCTTTACTATTCGTACAAATGTGGGCAAATCAACTAGTGTATCTTCTGATTTCCTTTCCTATAAAAGGAGGGCAATAAAGTCTTGCTTTCCAGAGTCTTTGTGCAGTTGAAATGAGATGATATAAGCGTATCAGAATTAGGTTAGCTAATACAGAGCCTTAAACAACCCATTTTCCCCCACATAAAAGAAGCCGAAGGCAGGTTCAATTGTTATTGAAGACTCAGAGTCTTTCTTTCTCCTCCACCATCCTTAGTGGTTGCCTTGTAGCCTAAGACAGGAACTGTCTTTTTTTAAAAGGAGACTTCCCAGATTCTATCCAGCAACTCTATTTATATCTCATTGGCCAGAAGAACATAGGATATGGTCACACCTTGTGGCGAGTGAGTCTGGAATCGTAGCTTTTCAGCTGGGCAAACTGCCACCCAGAATGAGATGGGATTCAGCAAGAAACAGAGGCTTCTGTCAGCACACACATGAGTGAGATTGGCAGCAGATCCCCCAGCCCAGTCAAACCCTTACATCCTTGTAGTCCTGGCCAATAGCTTGACTGCAACCTCATGGCTGCCCTTGAACCAGGGCCACTGAGTTAAGGTGCTTCATATTCCTGACCCTCAGAAAGCGTGTAAAAAATCAAGCGTTTTGGCCAGGTGTGGTGGCTCATGCCTATAATCCAAGCACTTTGGAAGCCAAGGCAGGCGGATCACCTGAGGTCGGGAGTTCAAGACCAGCCTGACCAATATGGTGAAACCCTGTCTTTATTTAAAAAAATAAAATAAATAAAAAATTAAGCAAAAGAAAAAAAAAAGATCAGGGGTTTTTTGTTTGTTTTGTTTTGTTTTTTTGAATTTTTAGTAGAGACAGGGTTTCGCTATGTTGGCCAGGCTGGTCTTGAACTCCTGACCTCAGGTGATCCGCCTGCCTTGGCCTCCCAAAGTGCTGGGATTACAGGTGTGAGCTACTGCTCCTGGTCAAGAACCAGTGTTTTTTTTAAGCTGCTAAGTTTTGGGGCAATTTGTTACGCAGCACTAGATAACTACTGCAGTAGGCCACAAACATCAGTAATAGTAATAGTACCTGCGACTTTATCACCAATAGAAATAATTGCTATTTTCACATTATATTAATATTATGGCTGTTTCAAAATATAATTTCCACTCATCATTACTTCACAATTACAGTATTATTAGATCTATGACTAGATAATACATGATTACAGGGTTCCATCTACTTATGTTCATGCGATGCAGCTCCATGCAACTCTGAATCCAGCAATCATTTAGCTACCACATGGTAAAAGTGTGTTTCCCACATTGATCGTCCAAATATCTTCACTGCTTTCCAGGAGTTTCTATCCAAAATTCTTTGTTGATCAAACCAACAAACAAAAGAGTTGTGTTGTTTCCATTGTTGGTTCAAGTTTTGCAAACCAGACAATTCAAATGAGAACTCTTTTTTTTCCCTTTTTTTTTTTAAGTCAGTTTCTGGCAAACAAATGAGAACTCTTAACTCTCCATAAGGCAGCTTAACCTTCTGGAACATGAACAAATGTCTGCCCATAAATGTGGACAAGGCAATTCTAAACATGTCTAATGGCTGAATGAACTGTTACAGGGTATTATCTAAGATACTTACTATTGCTAGCACACTATACAGGGCATGTGTATAGTTACACTTTCTGCAGATCACAGAGGTTCTTTCTTTGACTTTTCCCTTCATATTCCTTTTTTTGTACATTGTGTTTTGAAGTAAAGGCATGAACACATACTACGTTGTACAGGTGGTATTTACATATTATTTTTCCTTGAAAAAATACTAAGCTTATAAAAAAAGAAATCTGGGGGCAAGACTTCTGGGTGTAGGTGAATGAGGAGGTCAGCATGTTGTTTTCCCCCAAAAGAAACCACGGACAAAAGCAACAGTTGACGAAACCAAAATTGACAAAAATAACCATTTCAATGCCTTAGAAATCAACCAGTCATACAACAGCCTGAGAAGCATTTATGCTTGAAAAACTGCCGCACTTCAGGTAAGAGTAGTGGGAAATCTGCTATTTTGCTCTGGGGGGTGCGCCTTCTCTTCCTTTTCGACAGAGAGGTTCTGCTGGGGTGTTGCAGGCTGTCAAAATTCTCTGCTGTGGCCAGTAGGGGCTCACTCAATTTGGAGCAGTGGACAAAGTCCACACCCAGCAACATTGTTAATTAAAATGCAATCTCAGAGACAGACAAATAAGAGCCAATGGCTCTTCTAGACTGAGGTTGTAGTCTTGGTTTGGGCAAGCATATTCCGAGCTGATGCTGAAAGTAGGCACAGGAGAGACCAGAGAGGGCCGGCCCAGGTCATCACATACTCCTGATGAACCTTGTGGTTACGTGCACATGTAGAGGAGATACAAAAGGATCCATCAGAAAGAAAAAGCTGGATAAGTGCTGAAAATGGCCTATACTTTGAATGTCCTCCCCTATCCGTACACAGATCTATCAGTAGAAGATTTACTGGCTTGAGGTGGTTGAGCACAACTTCTGTTCAGTGGCGGACCACTGAGCTAAACTAACATAGGCAACCCTTAGCAGACATCAAAATCATACATAAAAATAACAATTAAAAATAACAAAGTTGGGTGGGGTGCCGTGACCCATGCCTGTAATCCCAGCACTTTGGGAGACTGAGGTGGGCAGATCACCTGAGGTCAGGAGTTTGAGACTAGCCTGGGCAACATGGTGAAGCCCCATTTCTACTAAAAATACAAAAATTAGCTGGGCGTGGGAGCGCACACCTATAATTCCAGCTACTCGGGAGGCTGAGGCAGGAGAATTGCTTGAACCTGGGAAGTGGAGGTTGCAGTGAGCCGAGATCACACCACTGCACTGCAGCCTGACAGAGCAAGACCCCATCTCAAAAAACAAAATGAAACGAACAAAAAAACCTCCAAACAGAATAGAGACATCAGTAGCTGCATATTGCAGGAGAGAGAAATTTCATGGCTTTAGCCCAGACAAGTTACTAAGCAGAAAAACAACAGACAAAAAATAGCAAAAACAACAACTTGCAAGGAAAAAATTAGAATCCAAAGTTTACAAGACTCTATCTAAAATGTCAAATTTTCAACAACAAAAAAATTAGGCCAGGCACGGTGACTCATGCCTGTAATCCTAGCACTTTGGGAGGCTGAGGCTGGTGGATCACCTGAGATCAGGAGTTTGAGATCAGCCTGGCCAACATGGTGAAACCCCATCTCTACTAAAAGTACAACAATTAGCCAGGCATGGTGGTGGGTGGCTGTAATCCTAGCTACTCAGGCGGCTGAGGCAGGAGAATCATTTGAACCCAGGAGGTGGAGGTTGCGGTGAGCCGAGATGGTGCGACTGCACTCCAGCCTGGGTGACAAGAGTGAGACTCCATCTCAAAAAAAAGAAAGAAAGAAAGAAAGAAATTAAAGATACCGGGAAATGGAAAGGGTACCCACTCTCAAGGGGGAAAAAGCAGTTATTAAAAATTGACTCTCAGTGTCCACAAATGTTGAAGTTAGCAAATAAGGACTTCAGAGAGACTATTATAGTTATGTTCAGAGAACTAAAGAAAATCATGTTTAAGAAGTATGACATGATGAATCAATAAACAGAGATCCTCAATAAGTAACTAAAAATAATTTAAGAAGAACCCAAAAATGTTCTAGAGTTGAATGACATAGTAATACCCAAGGTGATCTACAGATTCAAAATCCCAATGATTTTTTTTTCAGAAATAGAAAAACCCATCCTAAAATTGATATGGAATCTCAAGAGACCCTAAGTAGCCCAAATGACCTTGAAGACGAAAAGCAAAATTGAAGGTCTCACACTTCCTAATTTACAAACTTACTACAAAGCTGAGGTAATCAAAACAGTGTGGTACTGGCATAAAGACAGACATACTGACCAATAGAGTAGAGGGCTCAGAAATAAACCCTCAAGTATATTGTCAAATAATTTTTGATAAGACTGCCAAGACCATTCAATGGTAACAAGACAGTCTTTTCCACAAATAGTGCTGGGAAAATTAGATTTCCACATGCAAAAGAATGAAGTTGAACTCTTACCTAATACCGTATGTATGTATGTATGTATATACAATCATTTTTTAAAAAGCTGCTTCTTGTGGAGCAGGGCTAACTCTTAGGCAGTATGCCCAAAGTCAGCCCCTAATACCATATATAAAAACTAATTAAAAATGGATTAAAGACCTAAACATAAGTGCTAAAAGTATAAAGCTGTTAGAAAGAAACATAATTTCTGATATCAGAGTTGGCAATGATTTCTTGGTTATGGCTTGAAAAACAAAATTGGGCTATGTCAAAATTAAAACTTTTCATGCATCAAAAGGTGCTATCAAGAGTATGACAAGGCAACCCATGGATAAGAGAAAATATTTTCAAATCATGTATCTCCAAAGAAAATATGCAAATGACCAGCAAGCACGTGAAAATATGCTCAACATCACACTAATCCTTAGGGAAATGCAAGTAAAAACCCCAATGAGATACTACTTCACACCCATTAAGATGACTATTATTAAAAACAAAACAACAGATAATAACAAGTATTGGTGAGGATATGGAGAAACTGGAACTTTCGTGCATTGCTGGTGGGAATGTAAGATGGCATAGTTGCTGTGGAAAGCATTATGGTGGTTCTTCAAAACTTTTTTTTTTTGATACAGAGTCTTGCTCTGTCTCCA